ACTGTCTGTTGTTTGTCTGGAAGCCACAGGAGTGAGTTCAGTTCCAGACTAAAGGGTGACTAGGGGCCATAGTTTCAGGGGTCTCACTAGGCTCTATCAGACCAGAAACCTGGCCTTTTTTTTTTTTTTTTCATGACTTTAAGTTTTGTTCCACATTGTTTTCCCACTCTATCCAGGATCTCCTGCACCGATCCCTCACCTAGGGGTTGACAGTGGTAGCCAGGCACCATCTAGTTCTGGTCTCATGGTCATATAGGCTGAGGATCACATAGTCTACTAGTCCCTTGGATTAATTGTTCCCATGCATCTTTGGTTTTCTTCATTCTTCTTTTTGCTCTGGATGAAGAGAGACCCATTATTGCATCTAGATGGCTGCTTGCAAGCTTTTAAGATCCCAGTCACCACTCACCAGATTTGGAAGTAGAACAATGTTCTGTGTAGTATGTTATACTTCTGTGTAGTATGTAGCTTGATGTCTCCTGAGATCATGGTCCTGAGCCCACAGGTCCAACTACTTGCTCCTTATGGGTAGCTGGCTGTGGCCAAGAAGCCATCACACCCTTGCCCTTGTCTGTTCTACTACATACACCTGGACATTTTTACGGCACATACAAATAATGCATGTAGAAACATCATCTGCCAACCCTATACATGGTCATGGGCACACTACCCCCTGCCTAGACATACCTCATCATTCAGCCTGACCACCTATCTATCCACCCGTAGATCAATGCTTGCCATCACTGACAATGCAGTACTGTACATGCAAAAGGGTTCATCGTTGTTGCCTGTACCTCCTGTGTACCTCTCTCTGTCTTCCTCAATGCCACAATGTTGATTCCTCATTTTGGTACATTGCCCTTCCCTTCACTCAAATCCATACTTCTCTCTACCTTTCTAGAAGGTGTCTGTCTCCTCCCCTTCCATACCTGGTAACCAACAAAGTTTCCTTCAATATATAAACCTTTCATTGACTTTTTACAATAACAGACTAATACAATATTTGACCTTCTCTGATTGATTTATTTCACTCAGTGTAATGTCCTCCAAGTTCATCCACATTATATGGTTGTGGTGGTTATGTTTGTGTGTCAACTTGGCGAGTCCTGGCTGAGTGGCTGGGCAGCTGGATGTAGTATTCCCCATGATGAGATTGGTAATCAACTCCATGGTGGAATCTACTGTGAGCAGCAGAGTGGCTGCCTTTGGGTATGTAGTCTGCTTCCCGTATGTAAGCAAAAGCTTTGGGAATGGTCTCCAGCTTATGGCATGCTTGGACCCTGCATGTAGCCATGTCATTGTTCAGCAGCCTGCCATGCTCTGCCAACCTTGGGACTTACAATGGACTTACAATGTCCTATAGTTTGGTAACATCAGGACTGT